GTGCTCTGTGGGAGAAAGACATGCATTCTCCTTTCATGTGAATAACTGCCTCTGAAAACCTGCTAGAGGGTCAGCTATGGGTTGGTTCTGACTTGATGTTACACAACAACACAGCTTTATTTTCTTTTCTTACCTAGTCATGTGGTAAAAATAAAAATCAAGACTATAGAAGCCACTGTGAACAAAAAATTCAATACACCAGGACTATCCAATGGAAATTTTGTTTCCTACAACCTGAGTTATGCAGGTGATGCAACCTTGTTTGCTGAAATTGAAGAAGACCTGGAGCTTTTTTTGCTGCAGAAGGTCAAAGACTGTAGCCTTCAATTTAAGCTCAACATCAAGAAAACAAAGATTCTCACCACTGGGCCAATGGGCAGCACCATGAAAAGGGAAGAAGAGACTGAGATTGTTAACAATCAAAATTTCAGATTGCTCGGGCCCACAATTAACATTCTTGACAGGAAATAAAAAGACAATTCACATAAGGAAAATCTGCTGTCAGGGACCTCTCTAGAGTGCTGTAGAGCAATGATGTCAGTCTAGAGACCAAGACGCACCTGATGAAGAGGTGCATTGCAAAGTGGATTGAGAGAGGGGAAAGAAAGAAAGAGGGAGGTAAATGCAACAATGAATGAATGAAAACCCAACTTTCATTAATTACAATAAAAAAATGTTTCTAATACGAATCCCACTTTTCAACGAGATGGAAAAGGCAATCTCCAGTTTCGTTTGGAATGGAAAGAAGCTCCGAATGAGCAAAGCACTCCTTAAAAATAGAAGAATGGTAGGAGGTATCTCACCCCCTGATTTCAAATCCTACTACACTGCCATAGTGGTAAAGACAGCATGGTACTGGTACAATGACAGACACATGGGTCAATGGAATAGAATTGAGAATCCGAAGAGCAGCCCATCTATCTATGGTCAACTGATTTTTGACAAGAAGATGAAATCAGTCGACTGGGGAAACGACAGCCTTTTTAACAAATAGTGTTGGCAAAAATGGAAAAGTATCTGCAAAAGACCCAAGCAAAACCCACACCTCACGCCAAACACAAAAACCAACTCAAGGTGGATCATGGACCTAGGACTAAAACCAAGGACTCTAAACTTCATTAAAGAAAAGCTAGGAACAACACTAGAAGTCCTAATCCACAACATAAACAGTCTTCCAAGTATCCTGAAAAATCTACAGCCAGGAGAAGATAATGTAGATGAATGTGATCTTCTAAGACTCAAATCCCTATGTACATCGAAAAACTTCAACAGGGTAAAAAGGGAAGCCACTGACTGGGAAAAAGTATTCGGTAATAACATATCAGATAAGGGACTTATATTCCAGAATTTATGAAATACTTGAGCACCACAACAAGATAAAGGTAAATAATCCAATAGAAAAATGGGCACAGGATATGAACAGGCACTTCACCGAAGACGACATTCAGATGGCTAACAAGCACATGAAGAAATGTTCAAAATCCCTAGCTCTAAGAGAGATGCAAATTAAAACAACTATGAGATTATCATCTCACCCCACTCAAAATATCAAAATTTAACAGAACAGAAAGCAACAAACGCTGGTGAGGTTGCAGAGAAACTGAAACCCTTATTCACTGTTGGTGGGAGTGTAAAATGGTGCAACCCCTGTGGAAAGTGGTATGGTGCTTTCTCAAGAAGTTGCAAATAGAGATACCATTTGACCCAGCAATTCCACTACTAGGAATATACCCTAAAGAGACCATAACTGATATCCAAGCAGATATATGCACATCCATGTTTACTGCAGCTTTGTTCACAATAGTAAGGAGTTGGAAACAACCTAAGTGCCCATCAACAAATGAATGGATAGAGAAGCTGTGGTATATTCACACAATGGAATACTATGCTGCATTGAAAA